GAAAAAGAGGGTTTTTTCCCCCAAAAAAAAAAAAATTTTTTTTAAAACAAAACTTTTTTTCCTTTTTTTTTTTTTTTTTTTTTTTGTGGAAATTTATTCTTCGTGAAAAAACTTTTCGCCACAACTTTATCAACCTTTTATTACATTTTTCTTCCCACTCAATTTTTCCAGTTTTATTTGTGTTATATAAAATTTTGATTGACAGAGGAAAAGGGAAAAAAGCCATAATCATCAGAGTCAACACAAATAATAACTGCTTGAAGTTTCCTGGTTTCATATTTCTAAAACACTTTAAAATGTTTCTGTTTTATGTACCTCTAAAGTTTTATGTTTTGTAAGGATTTTTGTCATATAACTGAAGTTGTTCAAAGTTTTTATGGCTTTTTTGTGTTTTCTTCAGCATAATCAATGGATTTGCCTTACCACTGAAAGAGGAGCACAAGATTTTCCTGTTGAAGGTTTTACTGCCTCTGCACAAAGTCAAATCACTCAGTGTCTACCATCCACAGGTTTGTTCCAACCGAATAAATGAAGCGGTAAAAACTCAGCTTGTTGTTTTCCTAAGAAGCTGTTGGGTGTGGCATGTAAATTATTTACATTTTTCCTGTCCCGACCTGTTGATGAACAGGCCAGAATGTTCTCGCCTCGCTGCAGAGTTGTTTCAGGAGGTTTTCTTCCAAATAAATTCAAACTTTTTCTTAATGTTTGGCTTTATGCAGCTGGCCTACTGTGTGGTGCAGTTTTTGGAAAAGGACAGCACATTAACTGAGCCGGTACGTTCCTTAAAGAAAGGGATAAGTACGTCTTTGTTTTGTCACTTTATCCTTTATAACTGTTGTTTTCCCTGCATTTATCCCCACAGGTAGTAATGGCTTTACTAAAGTACTGGCCAAAGACTCACAGCCCAAAGGAGGTGATGTTTCTCAATGAGCTGGAGGAAATCCTGGACGTCATTGAGCCCTCGGAGTTCGTTAAAGTTCAGGAGCCACTTTTCCGGCAGCTGGCCAAGTGTGTATCCAGCCCACACTTCCAGGTACGGGAGAGAAACAAAGGAAAAACAATTAAAAAGGTTCAGTCAGCCTTCAAAATGTTACATTATGTACAAGAAGTCCACTTAGTCTAGAGCAGTGGTTCCCAAACTTTTTCCCATGGATTACAAATGGCTGTCTGGTTCAAACGACGCGTGTAACGGGGGGGGGTGCAAAATGACTTTTTTGGGGGTAATAGACACCAACATCGGTAGCCTACAAGGTACTTGTTAAGCTTAAGGTTCTGTATTGATATTAGCTAGTCATCTTTTAGCTAACATTGCATCCAACAGCTTTACTCAACTCAGTCGGTTAGTTTGGAGGGAAAAACTGTGAAAAGTTCTTTGTTTTGCTGGTTTCCTGCGGTGATTCTAACACACCTGTAGCTCCGCCCAGCAGCAGCAGGTCTCCTTCACAGGTGGAAACCCAGCGCGAGCGTCGTAGCGCTCATGTTGCGTTTAAAGGCGGCTCGGAAAAACAGGTTACAACATGTTAACAACGGATTAAACAGTTTTAACTGCTGATAAAAGTGACAGAGGACACAGAGATGGGAAGGGAGGAAGCCTCTACTGTATCAAATTGACATAGGAATAACAGAGAGTTGGCCATTCTAAGGTAAAAACCCAGCGCATACAGTGTTCATGTTTTTTTCTTTCATCCAGACGGCTTCCCGCGCCCCCCCTGCAATGACACGGCGCCCCCCCTAGGGGGCGCGCCCCACAGTTTGGGAACCTCTGGTCTAGAGGTATAAATTGCACTGATTGAGTTAATATTATGGATGGGCAGTTGTGATCCCAAAAGGTGGGCATGAGGGGGCCACGGCCCTGCTTGGAAAATGCTTTCCACCACAATACCCACCCCAGAGAAGGATGTTCATAACATGGAAAGACAAAACTCAATAAATGAACAAAATACATAAAAATAAATTTTGTATTTTTGGCAGTGATTCAGTGTCATATTTAAACCTAATCAAATGTAATTTTCTAATAGCTGCTTCTTGGTGCTTCCAGTCAGAATGTTAAAAATGAAATCAGAACAAAATCAACCTGCAGGGATTTGTATTTGTGGTTTTTAGCCTTGAAGTGTGAAGACTTGTCAGGATTTGTGATTTTGCGTGAACTGATGCCTCGTTTTCCTCCGTCAGGTGGCGGAGCGGGCCTTGTACTACTGGAACAACGAGTACATCATGAGTCTGATCAGCGATAATGCAGCAAAGATTCTGCCCATCATGTTTCCCGCTCTCTACCGAAACTCAAAGACGCACTGGAACAAGTAAGTTATGCAAGGTCACCACCTGCTGTTGTGTTTGGGGACAGTTTCTGCTCAGTTTGTGCTGCAGGCGGAACCAGTCTGCCTTTAGTAGGTCTGGCTTTAATCTGAGAGTTCTCATGTTTTCTTAGTGTTTTTTCTCAGATTTTGAAATTTTTCATCAGAATTTTTGACGGTTTTTTTTCTTCAGAATTTTTTTAATATTTTTTTCTTCAGAATTTTTGTCTGTTTTTTCTTCAGAATTTTTTTTTACTTTTTTCTTCAGAATTTTTTTTACTTTTTTTCTTCAGAATTTTTTACTTTTCCCTGTTGACTTCTTTTCTCAATATTCTGAATTTTTTTAATCCCCCCAGAATTAATTTTTCAGTTTTGACTTTTCCTCAGAGTACGGTTGTAGTAACATCAGGCTAACGTCCCAGTTAGCCTGATGACTGGCTAACTGGGACAGAATGAACACAAAAAAATTTAAAAAACAATTAGTTATATATTTTTTTCATTAAACAAATTTTTTTCTTATAATTTTAAGATGTCTTTCTGGTAAAATTCTGTCTTTATTCTGCTAATGTTATAACTCATTTCATTACAAGCATTTAATTATTCTCATAAGTAAATGAAAATTCTGACAGCTAATACTTTCTGGTACAATTAACAGGAAATCTCACAAAAATAAAATTTTCTGTCATTAGTAATTTCTTTTATTAGAAAAGAAAGTAGAAAAAATCTGAAATTAAATCTGGTATGAATAAAATATATATCAGAATTTAAATTTAAGCCGCAGCACTCGGCTCTACTTACAGTAAATCTGTCATTCAAACGTTTCTCTACATAAATGTTTAATTTTCCTGTTACATTAGACCAAACGTCATGTTCGTTGTTTTTTACTGTTTAAAACCTTAAAATGAATCAAAATCCATTAATTGACCAGAAAATTGAAAGATAATTTGCATAAAGTTGTTGCTCTGAGGCAGAACTTTGTGTTTTTGTTTTTAAATATTCTGATTATTTTGTTTTTTCCACAGGACCATCCACGGCCTCATCTACAACGCTCTGAAGCTTTTCATGGAGATGAACCAGAAACTGTTTGACGATTGCACACAGCAGTTTAGGGCAGAGAAAAATAAGTAAGTCCTTTTTTCATCATTCCAGGATGATTCAGTGTTTTACTGCTGTTGGATTTTTGTGCTTTTAGTTTGTTGGTTGATGAAATCTGAGACATTTTGGTGTTTGATGAACAGAGAAAAGGCAAAGTCGAAAGAACGAGAAGAGGCGTGGATCAAGATTGAGAATCTCGCCAAGTCAAATCCACAGGTAAACTCCATGTTTAACATTTATTTTTACCCGTTTCTCTCTAGAAAACCAGGATGTTTTACTTTTATCACAAGTCCTCACATTAAATATTTCACATCTTTAAATATTAATCAGGCTGTAGCTTGTTGCTTAAATGTTCGCTAATGTGAAAATAGACCCATAACTCACAACTGTGTAGTAAAATTGAATAAAACGGCTCAGTTTTAATCTTGCATAAATTTCTGATTTTGAAAGTATACAGATATGGTGTGTTCACTCACCAGAAAAATGTCAGATTTTCAGCTCAACCGACTGCTAAGCAACTTAAAATCCGCTGATTCTAGTCAAAATGTTGACATACAAAAACTTCCAAAATGAAAAAGTTTTATTTAAAGTTCTGTGACGTCCGTGTCAACGAAACTGAAAAAACCTAAACAAATTAATGACCCATCATGCCCTGGTGTTTATAACTCATAAATATTAAACAGGAACTCATAAATAACTTTCCAAAATTCAGAATAATTCTGCAAAAGGAAATTTGTCAAACCGATTTAACGTTTTTTTGTTGTTTTAAATAAAATAGTCTAAAATTAACGTATTTTAATTGTTTTTGTGTTAATTATTACAATCACATGCGACTGAATGACTGATACTTGTGTGTGTTCAGTCAGTGTTTGTTGTAACTTTATTATAGCAACATAATGTATAAACGTGTATATTTTATTCAGTTTTACATCAGAAAAATGCTAAATACATAGAAAACATACAGTATTAATGGCTTTTCAAGGGAAAACCGTTTAACATTTGTAACTTTTTAAATCTTTATAACTTTAAATATTAATTAATAGTAAGTTTTTTTAAAGATGTGTCCCAGAAGTGAACAGTTTTGTAGATTTCTTCTTCTTTGCATGCCACTGAAACTCTTTCTCCATCTTCTTTTTGCTTCCCTTTCTTTGCTGTCCAGTTCTGTTTGTATCTTGATTCCTATGACATCATAAGTCCCGTTGCTATGGAAACGGATGTCCCTTTCATAGAAGATGTACAGAGGTTAAAAAAGGCAGTTGAGGAGGGCGCAACTCAGGTAAACCTGACTTTCTCTCCATCTCAACTTAGACTAATTAATTTATTCAACTAAAATTTATTTAGTTTCCTTCATTTTCAGAAAAATTCAGGGACACATCTAAGAAACAACAAACTTCAATAGAGACATCTTCTTAGGTGATTAAGTAATGCAAAGTTTTTAGTCTAAAATAGGAGAAAAGAATAAAACTGAAGAGAGATATATGAAATATGACTGTATCTGACTTAAAGTATAAAAAAGTCTTGGCTTAACGCTATTAAAATATCAAACTGCCTAATAATGTTTAATATCTGCTTTCCCATAAATGTAGGTTGGGATTTTGTTGTTTTAAGTAAAGACTCTTGAAGACCAAACTAGTACTGTTCTCCCAAGTACAATAAATGAATAAAAATGAAAAACATTACGCATTACTGAGAAGAGAAAACTGAAAGAGTGGACCTCTGGTATTTGCGGGAGCTAATTAGCTAATCGCTTATTAAAAATGAAAATATAAAACTGTACCAGACTGAATGATCTGTTTGTATGGGAAATGTTTGCGTGTTTTGTTTTTTTTATGTGTTGAATCCTGATGCATTAGCGGCATTGTTGTCAGTTGCTATGGCAACGAGTCTGTGCGTAGCATAGCTGACAAAGAGTGAGGAAAAATCTAGTTTTGAGTCATTCTTCAACGGCCACACGTGAAAGATCCCGCTCTCTTCTCCCTGCTGGAGGGCAAAAAGCTCCTCGCTAACGATGACTAGCATTGGATTTAGGTGTTAAATTGTCAACACTAAATCTTAAATGTACACCTGATGTAGAAGAAAAAAGGGACAGAGTGCTTCGCTCCTAATTGTCAACATTGATGACAAGGTCAGAAAAAAGTTTTAAATAAGAAAAACAATTGTGAGGGAGAGGGAAGTAGGTCAGTTATGCTAGCTTGACTATGACAATCTTGACATGTAGACGTGCTGTGGAATTCAGTTTAAAAAAAAAAAAGTTGTACTAAACTCTGACAGATCTTCAGTAGAGCAGGAGTTTAAATTGGCTAATCCACCACCACTGTGTTAGCTTAACTACTAGCAGCGGTAGCTAAGCTAATTATTAACAATCGCAAAATAAACATGAGCCTAAAACATAAAACTGTAGCGTTCTGTTCTTTATGTGGGAATTTTTTTTTTTTGAATCCTGAAACATCAAGTGGCGTTGTTGTCAGTTTCTATGGCAACGAGTCTGCCTGAATTTTAGTTGTTTCATAACGGTTTCTCTGCGTCATTTTTCCCTTTGCTGTGGTGCACTGAATTAATAACATCTCCAGGGTCATTTAGTTAACGGGCGGTAAGTAGACGAATCGTCTTTTTGCCCTCCAGCGTTGTGCGCAGGCGTGAAATCCCCCAACGTAAACACGACAACGTGGGGCGTCTTTTCATGGTGGCTTTCATAAAACACGCTGAGCATGACCAAATTTATGTTTCTGTCCCCAACCTCAGTTGCAGGGGGAGCAGCGAAAAGAGCGGCCCATGGTGAGACGCAAATCTGAGTTGCCTCAGGATATCTACACCACAAAAGCCTTGGAGTCCCACCGCAGAGCTGAAGAAATGTTGACCACCCACGACGGGCTCTAGACCCCCCACGGACAGAATAACGCTGGCGAAACGCGTTTCTTTTACCCACAATCCTTCAGTTTGTCTTCATTCCTGCAGAAACTCTTCAGCCGCCTCTCTGTTTTTCCACTTTCTCAGGTTATTTTATTTTTTCTCCGAGGATGATGATGGTGTTTTGTGTCTTTTATCCCGTTTCGTCCCCATCACTGTAACGGTGGACAGCACAACGTTCGTTTCTACAAAATCAGACGTTTGAGGTTTGTGTCTTTAGTTCAGCGGGAACGGAGAACCCTGCTATTCGGATTTAAAAAATAAAACACGATCGTAGTTTATTTCTGTTTTGGGTGCCAAGACTGTTGCGTTCTTTATGCTTGATTTATCGACTGCCTGCCTTTTTGTTTGTTGCCACTGTTTTGATTGATTTTTTCCTCCAGCACACTTAAGACCAAACTTGGGCCTGTTCTCAGCCTTGCGTTGCTCAGAAAATATAAACAAATAAAAAAATGGCGAGGAAAGAAGAGGATTACTTTTTTTGTTTTTAAATGTCCCATGGACATTTTTTTTTTTTAAGTTTTCGTCTTATTGTTTTTGTGCCATATGCCGCTCCTTTTTCTTTTCCTTCCTAATGTCTGTTGACGATGTTTGAAAACCAGATGAGTTCAAACAATGGTACTTTCTGCACTGGAAGAAAATGTTTGTGCTTTTGCTGTTGCCACGGCAACGCCATAGAAAGTTTTTTTTGTTTGTTTTTTTGAGGTTTCTGTGCGCACATTGCAAAATTTGCACGGTTGAACGGGTGAAAGGAAAAGATCTCTTCTGTTGCATCTGAAAACTTTGATTAGGACCTTTTATTATTATTCTTTTTTACATTTATATGATTTTGAATGCAATTAAAATGTTAGAGGTAATTTATTTTTAAATTAATGATCCTTCAGTCAAACTTTTTGATAGTTTCTCAATTATTTTTTCTTAAGTTAAATAATTTAAGCCCCTCTTGATGTTTTCCAGTAAGTACCATTGTTTAAACTTAAAACATCCGCTGGATTATTTTTGTTTTCTTTTAGTCTAATGTGTCTTTTTTCCATCCCTGGCCATTCGAAAAGCCCAGTGCTGAAACGGACTGGTGTGAAAAATGACCTCAAAAATGCCAGATGTGAAAAAAAATAATAATAAAAAAAACTGACATTGTGACTTAGTTGAACTGTATTAATACTGTATTTGCTTGAATGCAAAAAAAGCTGTAAATTTAGACTGACCATGTCAAACATGTACCTTTTACCCTGGAGGAATGCCATTCACCAAACTGGTTTCTTCTGTCGGTCAATACATTTCTGCCTGCTGGGAGAAATGGGTTTTTATTTTATTCAGTCCAGAATGTTGGAGTTTTCTTTTAGTGCTGAAAACAAGTCATTTATAATAAGAAAAGATTATTTAGAAATTATTTGGTGGCTTGTTCTCTTTCCACAGGATCTAGGTATTTTAATTTTAACACATAATTTCCAAAACTTGTTAACTTAAGTGTCCTTTTGTATGTGACCTGTACTATACGATTCATTTACTGTATATATGATTTACCTTGTTTCATGTAGTGTTATATATCTAGATTATTTTGTACAAATTGTCCCTCTGTACAGAATAAAACATCAATAGCAAGTGAGAGAAATTAATCTGCTACCTACTGTCCTATTTTATTTGTCTCTGTAGTAAAAAAAATATTTTTAAGTAATTCCTGAACATTTCTCTTAAATGTAGAATAAAGATATTTTTTTTCTGAGGGGGCAGAGGGGTTGTTTAGTTTCAATAATAGCTGCGTTTTTGACTATATAATTGCACAACTTAACATTTCAAAAATAAAATTTCTTAAAGGAAAAACGCCAATTAAAAAATATATAATTTTTCAATAAAAATTTTTGGCGCCAGGATCAAGTGGTTTTGTTTTGTTTTTTAGCCGTATTGAAATTAATTTGTTTCCCAAAACTATCTGATTAAATTCAACAATACGGGAGTTAAACATTGTAGTAGTGAGTATTTATGGACACAAGAAGGAGGCGTATCCACAGCATAACATCGTTAAACAGTGTAAAACCGGTGCCTTTTGGATAATAATGCGGATAAACTGCTGCTATGATGATGATAAATGATGTTAGTGGTGCTGCAGGTAATTAAACTGTGACCAGATCAGCCTGCATTGCAGCCATAAAAACTAAACTTTCCTGCACGTCTGAAACGTTTCGTAAGGTAAAATAGCAGATAACACAGGAAGCCTTTTCCTTGTTTGTCCAGCAGGAGGCAGCAACATCACACAGGAAGTCAGACGTGTTCACAGTCTGCACTCCGCAGGTGTTCTGCTGGTTGACATGTTTACATTTTACAGAACTTTGATGTCGCCATAAGCGAACATCCTGCGCAGCATTCAGCTGTTAATGACGGTTGTTTTTATAATCCACATTTCTGAAAGGGGCTGCACAGTGGCGCAGTTAGTAAACTGTTGCCTTTCTTTCTGCATGGAGTTTGCATGTTCTCCCTGTGCATGATGGGTTTTCTCCAGGTACTCCGGTTTCCTCCCACAGTCCAAAAACATGTCAGGTTAATTGGCCTCTCCAAATTGACCCTAGGTGTGAGTGTGTGTGTCTCTGTGTTGCCCTGCGACAGACTGGCGACCTGTCCAGGTGACCCCTCCTCTCCCCGGAACGTCGGCTGGAGAGGAACCAGCAACCCTCCAGACCCCACTAAGGGACAAGGGTGTACAGAAAATGGATGGATGGATAAAAGAGAAGTGCTGTTTTAGAAATGGTTAACAATTCTGTTTTTGGTTTTTTTTCATGTCTTTCAGAAGAAAAAAAAAAAAACGATGGTCATTCTTGTCTTTCCAGGAATCCAAGTTCACTGCAAAAAGCAAAAATCTTACCAAGTATTTTTGCTTAGTTTCTAGTTTACAGGTAACTTTTCAATAAGATATAGGAGTTTTTTAAAGCAAATAATTCCTTAATATTGATGAGGAAGATCTAGTTCCATCGGCAGATTTAACTTATGTGGGAAAAATAACCCGTTACAGGTGAGAACATCTAGTAAATACTTCATTAATATTAGGGGGAAAGTACTTGTGAAAGTGGAACAAGACATTTGTCTCATATTTTATGTTAAAATGTCTAGTTATTTCATTTATAACTAGTTATTTTTCATCAATAAGGAATTATTGACTCAAAAGAAGCTCCGATTTTGTGTTGAAAAGTTACTTATTGTATTTTATTTATATTGGCTTAACATTAGAACATATGCTCATTATAAAGGGTATAAGTATCTGTAGTTGTGCATAAGAATAGCTTAGATGTGTTAGCAGATTTGTTGCTAATTTTAAGTGAAAAATGTGAGGAACCGAAATTCCACTGCAAAATCACAAAATCTTTCCAAGTATGTTTGGTCTAGTTTCTAGTTCAAATGTCTTAGTACACTTGAAATAAGACAAAACGAACTCAAGTAAGTTTTCAGCAATCTGTAGGAGCTTGTTTTATGTAGTTAATCCCTTAATATTGATCAAAATGTATTATGTTAATCTGCCAGTAGAACAAGAATTTTAACTTAAAATAGGGGAAAATGTCTTGTTCTACTGGCAGATTGTGTCATGTTGAGTCACATTCCATGGTTACCAAGCAACCTCAGCCAAGCCCAGCCTGTTACCTAGCAACCCAAATGGAACTCCAGCATGTTTGGTCAGCTGGTTTTTCCACTGTATATAAGTTGTGAGACATTTGTTTTGGTAAAATGGTAGATTGTTTCACTTATAACAAATCATTTTCCCATGTTTTAAGTTACATAATGGTTTACTCTTTTGTCAATATTAAGGAATTATTTACTTAAAACAATCTCCAATGCATTGCTGGAAAGTCATCTGTAAATTGATTTTGTCTTATTTGAAGTTATTTGCACTAGAAACAAAACCAAACACACTTGGTAAGGTTTTGTGTTTTTGCAGTGCTGGTGTCGTGAAGGAGCAGAAAAGAAACTTTAGAAATGAAAAAGCTTTTCAACGCTTTATGTGCCCAAGGCTTAGCAAGTGCATGTGTGATCTGTTTCTGAGAAACAAAAAATGAATACTCCCTGATGGAGATCAGAAATCGCTCTGCTCCCCTGAAATCCAACAACCTCTTCTTGGAAAGAGTACCATGTTGTTGCCAAGATGTCCTCACCTGCCCTACCTTACTCACTTATGGCGCGCAACCAAGACTCGCAGTCTGCTGGAGAGGAAACCGGCATCCATCTGGAACCTCGCTGACTGCCAAGCGCGGCTCGCAGAAAATCTTACATAAACACTTTCTATGCCTCCACAGACATTAGCTGGACATAAATAATTCCAATAAAACTGTTTACAATTCATTTGGATTAAATTTGTGAACCACTTTCGTCTTTATTGTGACCAAGAAGAAATGGAGAAACTCAGAAAAACTCAATATGATGGTTGAAAACTGGTAAACAAGAAGTAGCTGATCGATCACTTCCAATATTCAGAAAGGTACAATGTTTACCCACGTAAGATCAATACAAATAAATTATATTAATATATTAAATAATTATATACATACAGATTAGCATATAAAATAAATCAATTTTAGAGTCCAACATTCAGGAATGATTAAAAAAAAGAACAATAATGGCATAACCAAAATTTCCAAGTTGTTTTCTTGAAAATTTCTTAGGTTAATCTCAAACTCATAAATTTCCGGGGGGTTTTCTAGAGATTTTTTGTCAGAAATTTGTCAGGATCCTCAGTTGATCTCTAATTCAGACAGGAAACAAATAGTTGTCATTGTTGAAAATCCAGTTTAAACGACAAAAAATGGTCTAGTTTTTCGGTCACATATCTTTTTACACTTGAAATAAGACAAAAAATGTACTGGTTCCCAGTTCAGTGGAACTAGAACTGGGTTGCTAGGTTACAGGCTTGGCTGGGCTGGTGTTGCTAGGTAACGGCGGCCAGTGGAACGAGAACCTTCTCATCACTATTATTTTCTTTAAAACAAGTTCATTTATCTTGATGAAAAGTTACTTATAAGTTAGTTTTGTCTTATTTTAAGTGTATTAAAATATTTGTACATGAAACTAGACAAAAAATACTTTGCGGTAATTTGTGTTTTTGCAGTGTGTGAGAAAATACTCAAAAAAAAAAAACCCACTGGGGAAACTTATGGAGGTTTTAAAGATAAAATATTACATTAGAAAGGTAAACACTAAAATTAATAACTCGTCTGTTTGCTATTCAACGTTTGGAGCGAGTTTTTCTTAAGAAACGACTGCAATTAAAAACATGACAAGATTGCTTATTACTAACAACCAGCGGCAAAATTAAGTACATTCCAGAGTAAAACTGTGTTTTTATAGCAGATAGTATTTATAATATGCTCCATTGAGGGAATAACACTGGAGCAATCCCACATCTGGAGAACCTGGGAGGACTCGGTGGACGTGTTTTTATTTCTCCAGTGCTTTCATCCCAGTCCAAGCAGCACCGCTTCAGGGAAGCTTGGAGGAGCTGCCTGGGCTTTAATCCTCACTCCCAGAAAGCTGTTAGCAACTTCTATTAGCAATTTGCACAATTAGCAGATGACATAACCTCTCTTCCTGATGGTCTCCATCTGTGCAGTAAACAACCTGCAGTTCATGTGGTGTCTGTCTGTTTCCAACCCAGACTTATGCAAGTGTCACCTTGCGTTTCGTGGAACTCCCTCGGAGCCTCGTTTCTGTTCGTTACTCCCACAATAAAACTTCAAAACTCTCCTGCAGTGACTCGGCTCCATCACGTCCCTCACAGGTCCGCGATGTTGGACACCCAGAACCAATAATTTATGATTCCTAGTCTGTAAAAGTAATTTTGATACTTTAAACTTCACTCCAAACGTTTCTGCTTTTGGTCATATTTATATCCAACCTCCACGGGGACGTGGGGGATTTTTCTGATTTGAGTTACCTCGCAATAAGTTTTCTACGACGGCGCATTAGGGCCATTGTAGATGGAAAAGAAAAACAAGTTGATTTCTGCCAAAAACTTGGACATTTCTGAGCTTAAAAAGTGGAAAATTTGGGGGAAAACTTAGAAATGTTTATATTAACCTCAGAAATTTTCTAGAAAAAAGGGACATTTTTAAGTTCGACAAGTCAAAAATTGGCTAGGAAAAACAAGGACATTTCTAAAATATATATAAAATAAAAAAAGAAATTTCTGAGTTTGACAAGTTAAAAATTTGCTTGAAAATATAAGAAATTTTTAGATTAATCTCAGAATTTTTCTATAAAAAAAATTTAAATTTCAGAGTTTCAAAAGTAAATTCTGAATTCAGACTTTTTACTCAGATTTCTGACTTTTTTTCGTCAGAATGTTAACTCTGTGTTAATCAACATGAAAATCCAAATCAATAACCAAACATTCTTAGGTGTATGTCAATTATGTTAACATATAAAAATAATCACATAATTATTTCTTCCTTATTGAAGTTTTTTTAAGCCTGCATGTTCTCACTTTTCCCCAAGAATTTAATTAATTCTGAGGGGGAAAAAAAGTTAAATTATGAGAAAAAAGTCAACATATCTTTTGCTTTGTTTTTTAAGTGGCCCTAATCTTGTTCCGTAGATTTAACATCACTCTCCTGAAGATATTTTTCCTGTTGGTCCTCTGTGTGGGATGCCAGCCTGATGTCCTGCCTGTAACCAACAGGGGGCGATGTAGCTCTGGTGGGACGCAGCCGCGGCCCGGGAAACAGCGGGGATGAGAGAGAGGGCAGCTGAGGTGAGCGTCTGGGTGGCGGCCCGGCCTGCAGCGTCACTCCGGCCCCAGCAGGGTAATCTAATCGGCTGATTCAGACTCCAACCCGGCCCGGTGCGTCTCTCACGCTCCGATCTGGAGTCATGTGGAGGTTACAGGAGTTTAGATGTTAAAATAAACAAAATAACATGTCAGGATTTGTTTGTTTACTTGTTTAATGGATTTATTTGACATAAGAAATCAATTATTATTTAATTCTGCAGATTTTTCCCCCTTTTTTTTTTAAAGAAATATATTAAAAACAAATAATTCAATTCTTTTTTTTCAGTGAGAAAATAATTTTTTTTTCGCCTAGAATTCAGTAACATGGTATTCCTTTAGTGGACACTTGATCATTTGTAGCAACAGGCGATATAAGCGTTTTATATCAGTCGATATCAATAATTATTGATTAGTTGTTTGTTTTAAATATCTGAAATACTGCCAAATTGGTGACGTTACCTTTCCCGTTTTATCCACACCGTTGTTTTTTTATTTTTAGGCAGTTTTGAGCAGATTTTTAATAAATCACAGGTAATTTAGCTAATTTTCTGTCAAATTAGCTAAATGATATGGTGAATAAACATAAATATACGACCCAGATCAAAGTCGCACAAGGTTTAGCTTATAGATTCTCCATTGTAATGTTTAGTTCAGTGTTAGCTAAACTTTCTCTCAGCTCTCACTTTACTGTACTTTTATTTGATTGATTGCCTGAAGTAAGGAGTTGTTTAGAGAAAGGTGCAGGTGGACCTCTTGAAGTCTTCACTTTGACATGACTTAACCTTGACAATATTTAGATTGGTTTCAGCGATGTTTGTCCTGTAACAGGCTCCGTATGTAATCAGAGGTTTAATGGACTGTGCGATTCATCACTGCGTACCGTAAAACACACATTCCTCTGATTATCTAAACTCTCATATATGCAGGAAAAGTGTGCTGCATTGTGAATGAGAGTAATGTTTTTTCATTTAATTTAATTAAGTAAACAGAAATGAATCAATGAAATGTTCATAATACCTTTAAATTTTTTGGGATAATTAGCTCCATATCTGTAAAATATTACCTTTTATAATTTTAACCAGAGGATATAAAATAAATTAGCTTAACAAATAGTTAATGCACAGGCTAACCAATCAGATTTAAATTTAATTAGTTGTTTAATTAATGTTCTACTAATTTTTTGTTGCAATTTGCACTCAAAAAGACACTTTTGCCCTCGCTGCTACAAAATAAAGCTCAAGTATTTTGTAGCAAAAAACAAGCTAAAGTAAAATCTATTTCTATTTCCAGATTTTAGAACAAAATTAAGCTTTTTTCACAAATAAACAACTACTTTGTAGAATGTTAGCCTTTTCAGTAAATATGAAAAATAAAGAAAAATAGGTAGCATAGTTCGATCATTTGATAGTTATCTGCATATTTGCATAAGAACTTACAGAAAAACTCCTAAAATGACCATTTTTGTTGAATCAATAAGCAAAATTGCAACATTTGTTACATTTTCAGCTGTGTGGTTCTTTCACACTGCACTGTGTCAAACTGTCCAAAATAATTGAAAAAGCTGTTCCCCTCCTCACCTGTGGTGGCGCTGCACCAAAAACCACTGAAGGAAACGACACAAAAAACTATGAAGACATGAGGGCAACTTCCTTCTTCACCAAATGTAAACAAAAATGGAGTGGTGTCAGATTTTAGAGGATGTAGGATTTATCTTTTGTAAAATAAAATAAAAACATGAGTGCTAGGCTAACATGTTTGTTTTGGTTGTATTTACCCAGAATGCTCTGTGCTGTACTCCGCTTCCTACTTTTGGAGCGGTCCCCGGTCTGCTTGGCGTTCATATATGCATTTGATCCGCTCCAGAGTTCAGTTCAACCAAGACTGAGGTTTGTAGATGGACCAGTTTTTAGCTCCCCTACAACCGGACCAGACCGGGTTTGTCCGCCTTGCAGTGGGAAAACCTGGGTTTTTCAAGCGCAGATTTATAGGTGGACCAAACTGGATCCATAAGTGAACACCAAGTGGACCGGAGGCTGGTCCAAAAGCAGGAAGTGTGCTACAGTGCAGGCAATTCTGGGTAAATACACCCAAAACAAACACGTTAGCTTAGCGCTAGCAGGAGAAATGACTTGGTTTTTAACCAGAAATTTAAAAAAAATCAGATGCTACTTCATTTTTGTTTACATTTCATAAAGACGGAAGTTGGGCTCAAAGTCTTTTTCAGAGGCTTTTATGTTGCTTCCTTCAGCAGTTTATGGTGCAGCGCCCCCCCAGGCAAGAAAGGGAACAGCTTTTTTAACTGGGTTGGTTCGTTTGACTCAGTGAAGTGAAAAAGAGAACTGCAGCAGTTGAAAATTAAACAAATGTTGCAATTTTGGTCCAAAATCAAACCAAGTCTAAACACCTTGCCGAGATATTGGTTTGTAGTTGGACCAGAGTCAATTTTTTTGGTCCCATCGCACATTTTCACCTCCCCAAAAGATCCGGACTTTCTAGGCAAACAAACTGGAGTTTGATTAAAGCGGATTAATCCAGGCTGGTGTGAGCGTCTCCAGAGAGAAAAACAATCATGCAAATGGAAATCATCTGGCTTGTTTTAATCTATGATGTGATTAATCGATTTATTACAACAGGCTTAGATTTGAATGCTTTCTAGTGGTGGGTTCTACAGGTTTTTATTTATATAAGATGTTATTTTTTAATGTGGCGATTTGACTCCATATGGTTCCCAGTTCACGGCTGACTTACTGCACATGTTTGGTTCTAAACCCTTCATGTATCTTCCATGTCTCCTTTATCGCTGTCCACTGTGAGACAAATCAGGATGCCAAAGCTGCAGCTGATAATCTGTAATCATATGGAGCCTCGTTAACTTCAGACGGTGGAAAACATCTGAAACCTTAATGCCTACCGTGCTATGGATAATGTCTACATATAGGAAGTTGGTGGCTTGTGCTTTCTTTTTCACGCTAATGAGAAGGCAGGATGGTCATACTGACATCAAAGTAATGACAGCGTTGGGAAAATTATATACATCGACATCCTACATGTCGTAACTTACTGATAATTTAAGTTAGGATGCAGGAGTTGTTCAGCTATTTAAATGTTATTCTGTGGTTTGTGCTGAATCACGAGGATGTGTGGTTATTTGTCTTTTATTAGGTGTAAAGGAGTACTATTTTCTTTTATGAGCCAAATATCCTGCAGATTTTAGCTTGATTTAAGACACCTAATGACGGAAAGAATGAAAGTTCATTTTCTCCTCGTCTGTCTTTCTTAGTCCTGCATGTAGTTATTAAATGTTTATATTCCCCTTTGAAGACTTGGAGGCTAGAAACAAACTTCTCAGACTTACATATGCAGCTGTAATTGCTGGATGTTGGGCAGTAATCACCCACATCCACAGTTAAAAGCGAACATATATCCTGCCTTGTTTACGTCTTGAAATCGCGCCATGATGGCACAAACTGTGACCTACAGAAAGCTAAGATTATGATCTTATATGTTTGACTATCAGTTTACACTAGAAGAAGACTGAATGTAGCAGACAAACAAGCCTCTTGGGTGGCATAAAGAATCACAAGGCAGACAGCATTACCATCACAACACAACATTTACTCATTCGTGTTTGTAGCTCCATGTCAAACAAAAGAGCACAGCTGGCAGTAAACCTCTAATAAAATTCTGCATGCTTTTAAATGCAAGCTGCACAGCGATACTGCGTGCAATTACTTGCATACTTTAAGACTTTCTAGAGGGCAAATGCATTGAGGTTGTTTCTAAGCTGCAGCTTAATTTGGTTGGTGCTACTGAATGTTTAGACTGTTTATAGTCATAATTTGTAAGAAAATGTAGCAAGTTTTCATGTTTTGTTTTATGAGGATCATTTTTCTTTCACAATATTACACAGTAACCGCAGAGATGGGACAATTAAGTGTTTATTTTGTTTGAGCTGATCATAAACAGCAAACAATCGCAGAATATGCAGAGAAGATAAAAAGATGAGCGACACAAAATATGACCAAGAATTTTTGGTCTAGTTTCTTGTGCATATATCTAATTACCAAAACTATATTATAAGTAACTTTTCAGCAGATATAATGGAGATTGTTTTAATAATTCCTTAATATTGACAAAAGAGTACTATTTCCACTAGCAGATTATTTAACTTACAATATTGTTGTGTCTTTACTCCAACATAGTATGTTTAAAAGAAGGATTCAACTCGAAGGTAACATGAACGTGACTTCTTTACTGAACTTCACTTTAGTCTCACTTCACCTGAGGAAAAGGGGAAACTTAAAGTGGATGGATGTGGTCTATGGTGACCAAACACCAGACCTCTTTGTCTTGAAAACCACAGGCCCAGCGCTGTAGTCGCGCAGCTGACATCACCTTTTCGTGGATTGAATATTGACTTAGGGGCTGATGATCAGTCACTAAGGTAAACCTTCGGCCATAGAGGTAATGGTGGAACTTTTTGATACCCCATACTAGGCTAAGGGCCTCCCTGTCTATCTGTGCATAATTGCGTTTGGCACTTGACAGGGACCTTGAAGTGAATGCAATTGGGCGTTCAAGTCCATTATCCATCGTGTGCGACAGGACTGCGCCCGTCTCCAACATAGTATATTTAAAAGAAGGATTCAACTCATATATATTTTCCATGTTATAAGTAAAACAATCTAAACTAGTACTTTTGCACCAATATTAAAGAATAATTGAAACTAAAATAAAAATACTCGGTAAAAGTTTCTATTTTTGGTTCGTAGTTTCTGAATAGTAAGTCAACAACAAAGCAAGCGTCTCTTCCAACATATACAGTGAAAAAAAAAAAAAAACAGCTGACCAAATGTGCCAGAGCTCCACCTTGGTTGCTAGGTAACGGGCCGGGCTTGGCTGGGGTTGCTAGGTAATGGCACAGAGCCGATAGAATGAGACTCAACATGTTACAATTAAAATTATCTGTCAGTGAAACTAGAACGTTTTCATCAATATTAAGGAATTATTGGCTCAAAACAAACTCCTATTTTTGCTATAAAAAGCAAAAAAGTTACTTGTAAGTTTTGTCTTCTGTCAAGTGTGCAAAGATATTTTCACAAAATTAGGTAAGGTAATTTCAATTTATAAAGCATATTTTCACCATCAAGGCAATTCAAAGTGCTTTACATGAATTAGAAGGAAACAAAATAACAAACCAAAGACCAAAAATACTTGGTAAGATTTTGTGTTTTTGCACTGTACACCTAAAAGTAATGTTTTTACTAAATGTTACTCAGTTAAAGTGAGTAAATGTAAATAGTTACTGCCCGGCTCTGGTGGGGAGAACAAGCTCCATGCAGAAAGTCCAAGGCCTGGGATTTGAACTCAGGACTTTCTTGCTGCATTGCAACAGTAATCCGCTAAAATATTAATAATAATAAAAAAACAAAACGTAGGATTTTGTTCCAGACTTTGCATCCGAGTCGTCCACCTGAACTTTTGTTTTTGTTTAAGTCTTAAGCTCTGGAGTTTTCCTTTGTTCCTCGCTGGATTGTCCGTTTTTATGCCTTGATATTTCCTCCATGCCATTTCCTGTGTCTCTGCGTCCTGCATCTGTTTCCAGGATTGTATGTTTCTTTGTGTTTTATTAAAATCTTCAACAGTGGAAGTCTGTGCCTTGGCCCTGCCAAACAACACATCATTACAAAGTTAAATTTGCCTGATGCTAAAATGTGTTTGGTCATTTGAGGCTTTTCACTTTGACAAATAAAAGTAAAAACAGATAAAACCCACGAGGAGAGAAATACTTTACAATAATCTGATTTAGATCTCCTTTTTCTCTCAATAGCATCTATCAAAACATTCTGCATTTGACCATTTTTTAATCTTTGCTAATGTTAAATATTCTAATCCACTCTTCAGCTCTGTACTTTAAATATATGTTACGTTTGTGACCCGGTTTAAATGAACTGCAAAAACCCAAGTCCAATCATTATTTATTTTTACTAGTATTTTTTTATAATGATATATTTAGTGGTATTTTCATTTATTTTAACCAATATTCAACTTGAAAAAACACAAATTTTAAGTTTTGTAGTCTAGTTTCTAGTGTAAATATCTCAGTGCTCTTGAAATAAGACAAAATAAACTGGCAAGTAACTTTTCAGTAAGATATAAAAGTTGTTTTAAATCAGTGAGTCTTGAATATTGGAAAAAAAATACTATATTATTTCAATTATATCACATAAAAAAAATTCTTGTAATAAGTGAAATAATCTATAAGGGGAGCTCGTACTATTTTTAATCAAAATGAATGAATCATAGACTTAAAACAAGCTTGTACATGATGCAGAAAAGTTTCTTACATGTTAGTTTTGTCTTATTTCAAGTGTAGTTACACTAGAAACTACACCAAAAAGGTTTTGTGTATAACTTTTTGGTTTTGTTTCTAGTATATCTCAGTACGCCTTGAATAAGACACACTCGCTTATCAGTAACTTTTCAGATAAAGGAGAATGTTTGAAGAAAATAATTCCTTAATATTGATAAGTTCTAGTTCCACTGGCAGATTATTTCACTTATAACATATTGAGTCACATTCCATGCGCACGGCGCTGTTACCTAGCAACCACAGCCACGCCTAGCCCGTTACCTAGCAACCACAGCCGAGCCCAGCCTGTTACCTAGCAACCTTAGCGAAACTCTGGTGAATTTGGTTAGCTGGATTTTCACTGTATATCAACTGGAAGAGACACTCGTTTTGTTGTTGACTTACTTTTCAGAAACACTGCAAAATACGAAGTTTTACCAAGTATTTTTGGCTTAGTTTCTTGAAATAAGACAAAACTAACTTGCAAGTAACTTTTCAGCAAGCTTGAAAAGGAGCTTGTTTTAAGTAAATAATTTCTTAAAATAGAGGAAAAAGTACTCGTTTCACAGGCAGATTATTTCAATTATAACTTGGGAAAATGTCTTTTTATAAGAGAAATAATCTGCCAATGGGATAATGTTAAGGAATTATTTACTTAAATCAAGGTCCTGTATCTAAAAAGTTACTTGAAAGTTAGTTTCATCTTATTTCAAGTCTAACAGGATATTTGCATAAGAAATTAGACCAAAGTACTTGCCATAATTTTGTGTTTCTGCTGTGAATCAGATCAAAGCGATAGCTGCAGATGACGTAAACTTAAAAAATGAAAGAAAATTCAGCTCCAACTCGTGACTTTCCCAGACTTTTTGAGATCATCGGCGAACGCTGAAAGATGCTTCAGAATTCAAATTAAGCTCTCAGCAGCAATTCGGCCTCTTTATGCAATAGAGCCATCACCAGAACAGCGGGGGAACTGAACAAACATTCACTCTAATTATAAATCAGCCTCCTGCTACGCCAGCTCAGATTGCTCACAGTCGTCTCTCCTTTTTTTTCTCTCTCTGTCTCTTTTTCTCGCCCACGTCTACCCACAGCCAAATACTTTGGTTCATTCAAGGTAAATCTGCTTCGGATAAACAATCCCCACAATAAAGGATGGAATTTAGATGAGGATTTTGAAATGTTCTTGCAAACACAAAATGGTTCTCTCAACATTTATCTAAAATTTGATTACAGCTGACAACACTCACATCAACACAACTTTATCTTAGCAGCGTTAGCTCACTGAGCTGTAACGTTTATACTCTGAAAAGAAACGAACATACAATGCTGATGACACAGGAAGTGCTGTACACAGACAAAAACCCATAAGAGTAAATATCTGAGCTCATCCTTCCTCATGAGCTACAGTTTGTCTTTTCAGCTCAGAGGTTGGAAAACCGTTTCCTTGTCTGTCATTTTGATCTACACACTCCGAAAAATGCAAAATCCTACCAAGTATTTTTGGTCTACTTTCTTGTAAATATCTTAATACACTTGAAATATGACCAGTGGTGGGAAGTAACGAAGTACAAGTACTTCGTTACTGT